GTGTGTAGAAGCCTGGATTCAAGTCCCCTAGCTACTCCCTTTACTAGGCTGGATGGCCTTAAGTAAGTCACTTACCTTGCTGATTCTCAGCTTTTCATCTATAAGATGAGACTGACAATGTCTGGATCAAGGATATACACTGGTTTTGTTCACTAAAATCTTGCGCAAACATGAGATGTTGTAGTAGAAAGGGGAAGGGGTGAGGACCAAGGAGAGGCTGTCATTGATTCAGGGTGATTCGTTCTCTCACCTTGGCAAGGAGTACCCAAGGCATCTCAATGAATAGGCTCTGTGGAGTCAAACAGACCTGGGTTCCACTTCTGGCTTTGCTGTATTAACCAATAATTTGGCCTCTCTGAGTCTTCCTTCCCCTATTTAAAGTACCTCCTCACAGGGCTCTTGTGAGGATTAAATAAGGTGGGGTATGTAAAGTCTGACACTGGTAATTAGAGGCTCTTCTTACCTTGATGGTTCGGGGGGAGGGGGGTGTCTCATTTACCCACAGTTCAGGGGTGGTCGTACCTTTTAGGGTTTTTCTACCTGTACAAAGCCCTGTCACTCTACCACATGTTCAGGCTTGGCTCTTGGCTTCTAAAACACAGTTTCCATCTGAAATGTTTCAACTGGGGAAAACGGTTTGTTTTTGCCAAATTTCCTCTGTTCTTACTAGCTTGGAGAAGTGAGCCCATCCCTTCCAGCTGTAAATTGCATTTCAAAGCCTGTGTCTCTGGTGGGTTTTAATTAGCTTAAGGGCCCAGCTTTTATGCAGCAGTTGTTCCTCTAGCAGGTAAAAATGAAGACACTTGGGAGCCAGTCCCTAGTTTTCCTTAAAAAATAGCGTATCTGGATTGCCACCTCCCAGCTCCTCACTGTCTGAGGGTTGTCTCTCACCGGCCCAGAAGGAAAAGTGGGATAAAAGAATCCTAGACTTAGAGGACCCATGGGGTTCTTGGCCCTGCTCCTCATGGGTTGGGGCGCTGTGGCCAAGTCCATTCCCCTGTGTTCCTCAGAGCAAGGGCCTTGTTCACTGAAGTCCCTGCTAATCTGCAGTGAAGACACTGTAGAAGTCTCTGGAAATAAGTCTGATTCTTTCTTCCTCTCCCCACCACCATCAAGAACAGTCCCTCTACCCACCTCTCCTTGGCTCATTGCTAAGCATAGGGCCTCCAGGGGCTGCAGACACCTTGCTCTCAATTACATAGCTAATCTGTGAGGCAGAGCTTGGCCCAGGGGGAAATAGCTTATCAAGTCAAGCAGCTTCTGCTGAATAGGATGTCAATATTTTCTAGGGCTCCTACTCTAAGCTAGGGGGAAGCCTGGGAAAACCAAGAAAGAATTGTGTGGGGAAGATTGAATTGGGGTGGTTGGTCTGTTGGGGGAAGGGGGGTGTTTGGGTCAGAGACTCTAGTCTTTTAATGAGATGCTTGGGACCCCCAGCCCCCAGTGGTGTGTGCACACCCCCCACCCCCCCCTTAAGGGAGGGCTATACTCCTGGGACATTATTCTTACTGCTTCCTCCCTAATATTTATTGGCCACTTACTGTGTTCCAGACTTCGTCAGGCTTGCCTCTTAACATTTGCAGGGCAGAACAAAGAGTATAGAAGGAAACTTTACATATTGTATGTCTAAATATTTGAAGGTTATAAGTGAAGCGAACAAATTTTAAGGTTTGTAACAACCTGGAAGGCCATGTCTGCATTTAGAATTCTTGACTCTTTGGGATTCTGTACCTGAACCTAGCAGTTCCAGAAGAGCTAGTCTGGGCACACTTTTCATTTCCTACCCCCAACTTGATCTCTCACTTTCAGGAGTCTCATAAACATGTTTAAACACGGAAACTTTTCCATATCTCCACAGATAGCTGTCCCTTTGGGCTTAGGGAGTGTGCACAAGAGCAGCACAGACTGCCCTTGGAGACTGCCATTGAAAGCCGATTGAGGGCTGATTAGATAGGGGGCATAGGACGGGGTTGGCGCCTGGAGCGCGCTTCAGGTGGACCTTGTGGCCCTGCAGATGCCTCACTCGGGATGGCTACAGGCATACATTTCCCCCGGTCTCTTCTCTGTTGTAGCCTTTTTGTGACGTGGCTTCTGGCTGCCTTTTCTTGGCATTGTTCAGAAGGTGCTCCAGTCTGACTTTGACCCTCATTTAGAATGAGCCTCATCAATGGCAGTGTTACTAGAACAGAGAAGTTCAACTATGGATTTGTTGAACTTTTGGGAGTGGGCCAGTAAGTGTAAGTACCAGTACTTAATGTTAGGCCTTTCCTGTTCCTTCTGGAGCTCTCCTCTGATGTAACCTGTCCAGGGTCAGGGGTAGGAGATATTTGTACAGTCCCTTGGGGTAAAAGACATCCCTACAATAAGAAAAGTCCTTTTTATGTACATTGTCCCAAACCCCAAGTGACAAGAGAAAAGACTGAGTATGGCCAAACTTGAAGATACTCACCAGCTAAGGAGTGAGTGCTGATCCTGCTGTATCACTAAACACAGGTGTCAGCAAATGCTTCCTGCTGAGTTGGTGGTAGAGGCTCCTGCCAGAGGTCTGAGGGAACCCAGCACCTGTCATGTCCCTGCCAGGTCAGTGACAGAGATAGTAGTCATCAACAGGTCTAAACCATCATCCCCCTCTCTTTCTATTTTGGTCTACACCCCAGGCCAGTGGTTGGTTCCCTCCAGCCAAAGTAGGTGGCCCTTCCCTGAGCAAAAGCTTCATGGCTCTGAGCTGAACCAACCAGGAGAGTTATCTGATGGCCATGGAGGAGCCCCACAAACTTACTTCTCATATCCATGGATGGACAAGAAATTTAACTTTTGAATGGCTTGTCATCCAGGTAGGAGAGGGATTATCAGAGAGGACTGTGAGGAATGGGGGGCCCCAGGGAACCCACATACATTAAGCATTTTCTGCACATGGACAGTATTGTTTGTTTTTGTTTTTTTTTTTAAGATTTTTATTTATTTGAAAGAGAGAATGAGAGAGCGCGCATGAGAGGGGAGGGTCAGAGGGAGAAGCAGACTCCCTGCTGAGCAGGGACCCTGATGTGGGACTCGATCCCGGGACTCCAGGATCATGACCTGAGCCGAAGGCAGTTGCTTAACCAACTTGTTTTCATGGGTGATATCTTTTGTGTTCCTCACTGCTTAATAAATGATGATTGGATGCAAAAGTAAACTGAGTAATAAAAAAGAGTGTCCCTTCCAGATCCTTTCCAGAGCTGGCACCAATCCCTTCATCAATAGCAGTGCCTTCCTAGCCCCTTTTACTTGGGATGGCACACACTTGACCCCAGTATATCCATGGAGGTACTGCAAGCCCGCCATAGGAGTAGGTTTCTTCCTCAGAATCATTCTCAGGGCCAGCCTGTGGTTTCCTTGCAGTCAGTGCCATCTGCTGGTCAGAACATGCCAGCTTCCAGGCTGGAAGGATTGAAGAAGAAAAGGGTCTCTTATCCTAGTGGAACAAAAGATAAGCCTTTCCCAGTTTATGCTTTGCACTGCTCTAATTCTCTGTCAAGAAGCTCCCTCTACCCTCAAATACTAGGTTAGTAGGCAGGGGTTTACCGTTAGCCTAGGCTGGTGAGAGTTTTTATACGTACTGCTTGGGGTCATCAGCACCTTCTCTAGTAGCTCTCAGCAGGGGTATTGAAATAGGAATGTTATAAAAGGGAGTTATACAAATCCATGCCAGTGAGCAGAAGGCTGGGCCAGGAAGTGTAAGTACCAGTACTTAATGTTAGGCCTTTCATACGGTCATCAAGCCTCCTTTTCTGTCCTTCTGGAGCTGTTCTCTGATGTAACCTGTCCAGGGTCAGGGGTAGGAGACATTTGTACATTCCCTTGGGGTAAAAGAATTGCCAGAGTGTGGAGAGCAAAGAGTAGGTACAATATGATCTCTAAGCAAACAACAAAATTTGAATGAGTCGGTAATAAAAGTGGGTAACTCTAAAAAAACTAAATTATTAAAAATAATTCTCAGGTAAATATGTTTACTTAACTGTAGTATTTAAATTGGCTTTAGCTCTGGCTTTAAGTGATAGAGCTTGGTGGGGGGGTGGAAAAAGGGCTGTAGGGACCAACTGACGTGGGTTTGAGTGCTCATTCCTGGCAAGTTAAAGAACTTTTGGCATCTGTTTTCTGGTAAAATATGAACAATAGTAATACTATTTATAGGGTCTTGTGGTTACTCAGTATTACATGTCACCCTTAGCCTGCAGTGAGTGCTCATTGAGGCTTGTTTAGCTCACCTTTTTAAAAATGATTGGTACCGGGGCACCTGGGTGGCTCAGTCGGTTGAGCATGTGCCTTTAGCTCAGGTCATGATCCCAGGGTCCTGGGATCAAGCCCCGCATCAGGCTCCCTGCTCAGTGGGGAGCCTGCTTCTCCCTCCCCTCTGTCTGCCGCTCCCCCTGCTTATGCGCTCTGTCAAATAAATAAATAAAAATCTTTAAAAATATAAAAATGATTGTACCAGTAAAGACAGCCAAAGCTAGGTCAGTGTCTGGATCAGACTGAGCAATTTTCATAATGTTGTAGAGCAGGTATTACTTGAAATTTCCATGTGACTTCTTTGCCATGGTTCTACATTAAAGGAACAGAAGAAAAATGATGGAAGGTCTTCAAATTTAGATACTGCGTGAGGTAACTTATTTCAGATAAGCATTAAAGAAGGAATGGGTTTAAAAGAATTAGACTCAAGCAGACCAGGGTTCAAATCTTAGCCCTGTTGCTCACTAGCATCATGACCCCTGAATGTGCATTTTCTCCCTTGTGAAATGGCCTGGTTTTGCTTGTCACGTCAGTACCAAATGAGCGAACATACATAAAGCACCTGGCCATGAGGTCAGCAGTCCAGTAAGCTATAAAAAGGGGAGGCTGGATGCTCTAGGGATGTATGTGTAGCAGGGCAGAAAGCCGTCCAGGTTAGCCATGATGTGGGCCATGGGTAGCCCTTGAGCACAACTGGGGGACCCAGCTTCATAGTGGCTCTCTCTCTGCAGGTGGCCACCATGTCCTTGAAGATCCAGACAAGCAATGTAACCAACAAGAATGACCCCAAGTCTATCAATTCTCGGGTCTTCATCGGAAACCTCAACACAGCTGTGGTGAAGAAGTCGGATGTGGAGACCATCTTCTCCAAGTATGGCCGCGTGGCCGGCTGTTCTGTGCACAAAGGCTACGCCTTTGTCCAGTACGCCAACGAGCGCCATGCCCGGGCAGCTGTGCTGGGAGAGAACGGGCGGGTGCTGGCCGGGCAGACCCTGGGTAAGCATCTCTCCTTGGCCCTGCTGCTCGTACTCTCCTGAGGCGGGTTCCAGCCTTCACTTTCTAGCTTCTCTCTTAGGCCCCTTTCTGTTTCCCTTGCTACTACCCACTACCCCATCTGAAATGTTAATCACTATTAAGTAGTTAGAAAATCTGCCTGTAGGGAGTATTTCAGGAGCTTCTCAAAATTGCTTCTGTCTTGTCTTTGCATTCGTGGTGACTCTTAATGACAAGCTTTATGGTTCCAGTTAAAATGCAGATTCCTAAGAGAAAAGGAACAGAGTGGACTAAGCATAGCCTATAACATTGGGCTACGGATGGCTTAGGTTAGAACTCTTTATGAGAGCCAGGAAGAGGGCCTGGAGCACAAGGTGAAGCAGGTGCCTTTGCCCTTGGTGCTGTATATATATGGTGCGACCATGTGGCAGTCTACCTTGGAGTGTGTACAGTGCACCTACTTCTGTGTATATGTATGTTCGAGAAGGGATATCTGTGTGATACCTGGATGTAACTAAGCATGTGGGGAATATGTGGACACATCTTTAGTATATATATATATGAAAAATGTGTGTCAGAATATGCTAGTGTGTGTAAGCAGATATGCATATTTATTTACCAAATATTAATTGAGATCCTGTCATATGCTAAGCACCATTCTAGGTATAAAGATGTTCGGTAGAACGTTTGTTTGAATGTGCCGTGGCTCATCTGTATATGGACAGTTCTGTATATGGACATCGGGGTCAAGTACTTGGGAGTATATGTGTTATTTTTGTGGGCAACTTGATTACCTGGATACATGAACATGTGTGTAAAGATACGTATTTGAAATATTTACGTACGTGAGTGTACTTGAGAATGCATGTGTGTGTGAACAATACGTTTGTGAGCATGCATGCAGGTGTCTGAGTGTACATGGATTTGTAAATAGGCCTGTCTCTGTGATGTGTAGGTATGGGTCTAACGTGTGGAGACCTCTGTTGGTTGTTTGTTAGGACAGTCCATGTGTACCTCACATAAGCAGGTAGAAATCGCTGCTCACGTGCATGAGGGTGATGTGTGTTTGTGCTGCCAGCATCTGACTGTGCCTCCTCCCTCCACACAGATATCAACATGGCTGGAGAGCCCAAGCCCAACAGACCTAAGGGGCTAAAGAGAGCAGCATCTGCCATATACAGGTGAGGCGCTCTGTCTTGTCTGTCTCTCTCCATCTGGGTGGGATTGGTCCCTTTTTGCACAGAGGGAGAGAACACTGGTTGGTGAAAGTGTGCCGAGCCTAGAATTTGGGGAGGCGTTTGGACATGAGGGCCCGTGGAGAGTGGGCTGAGTGGCTGTCCCTAAGCCCTGGCCCTCTCCCCTTTGTTTCCCCAGTGGCTACAGCTTTGACTATGATTACTACCGGGACGACTTCTACGACAGGTGAGCAGGGGAGGGGCGTGCCCAGGCATGAAACAGCCAAGCTGGAAGGGTCCTGAGAGATTGCTGGTGCAGCCCATTCAGTCCTCCAAGTGGGGGAACCAGAGCCCAGAGGTGTGGACAGGCATCTGCCCAAGGCTGCTCCACCGATGGGTGGCAGAGCTGGAACTAGGGTCTAGTTCTGCAGGTGCCAGGTCAGAGCTTCCCCCAACCCACACTGTCTCCTGCTCTCTGACTGCCCTTCCTCCTCCTAGGGTGGGACTCAATGGGACTGGTCAGCAAGGGACATATAAACATAGCAAGTTGGATTACAGAACAGGTTACAGGAGTAGGTACAGGGAGTTTGAGCCCTCACGCTCCTGGTATTCAGTCTCCTTTCCTATTGGAGGTGCTCAGCCAGGTGGAAGGGATCTCAGAGCTCAGTGTGATCCTCTTGGCCTTTCATTTATAGCCGAGGCCAGCAGTCCTCTGGAGGTCTGAATTAGTCCCTGCTAGGCTATGGCCCACCCTTCATCAGACCCCAGTGTTGAGCTGTGGGCTCCATTCCATGGCACCAGCCACATTCTTGAGTGGAAATCATGATGGGTGGGGCTGTTCCAACACACCCCACCCTCCCCCACCCCTGCTTGGCCTGTGGGAAGGAGGAACTTTAGAATCTCTCTGAGCCTCGGTTATCTCACTTCTGAATGGTTTCAGGAGACAGTGTGGTGTAGTGGAATGTGCCCTAGCCTGGGAGTCAGAAGACCTGGGTGCTAATCTCAGCTCTGCCACTGAGTGGATTGTGTGACTTTGGGCAGATCCCCTCCCAGTCTCTAAAATGGGCTTGCGCCAAGTGATCCCTCAGGGCCCCTCCAGCTCTGGGATTCTGTGGTTCAGTGATTCTGACCAAGGCCAGAGCCGCCCCCTCCCCTTAGGGGCAGAAATGCAGGGTCTGGGACTGGATCCATTCCCAGAGACTCTCCATCTCCAGCCATCACCACCCCAGGGCAGGGGCTCTCTGAACAAAGGAGTGCCAAGCCATGGGGCATTGAACTGCCCAGTGATGGCATGTTTCCTGGCTGTCACCAAAGTGAGCCCATAGTGTACCCCTAAGGCCGCTCTTCCCTGTGGAAAGGTAATAGTAGCAGATGGGGTGTGAGAGACCCCTACTCAGCCTATAAGCTTCTGCCTGATGAGCAGGAAAAGAAGCCCTCTTGGAGAGGGCTGCATGTTGACATTGGGGCCAGTACATAATCTGGGAGCCCAGGGTTCTGATTGAGCTGCCTAACCTTGATATGCTGCTGATCTCTTCCCCTCCATCTCTGAAGTGGTCTAAGAGGGCTGGGGTAATTAAGGGGGCCCAGCCCCTGAAATCATAGGCTCCTGGTTTGAGTCTCAGTACCCTGGCCTTCCACCTATCACACCTTTTAACATGTGTGTTTTTTAACCAAGTTTTCTCATTCTCTGCCCTCACAGCAGCCTTGGGGTGGGGTGGGGGGTTGGCACAGAATTGGGGTAGTCATCATCATGAAGCAGATGGGAAAACTGAGGCTCAGGCCGACTTAGGGATTCCAATCCATTCCCACATCTTTGTTCCCAGCTGGCAGTTTGCGTTGCTTTAGGGACATTGGCAAACTCCAACCAGAGGTTGGGGTGGCAGTTGACTGAGAAGCCAGGTCAGGTAATAACAGCAGATCTAGGGAAGGCTTCTTTCTTGGGCTGGTCTCAGTTTGCTCCTTTCTTGAACTGGGGCTATAACCATTACCACCTGCCTTACCCAACCTGGCTGGTAGGAAAGGTGGATGGAATGAGAGTCCCAGAGGCTTTTAAGGTTGGAAAAGCCTTTTCTCTTCACCCCCAGGGCTTGTTGGGAGCAGACAGAGGTGTGTAGTACAGGCTGCCCACCAGCCACATGTTGGTCTAGAGTCACAGTGCCCTCTGGTGGCCACAGGCCATGCTGCAGCCTCTGGCCCATTTGCCCCTACAGGCTCTTCGACTATCGGGGCCGCCTGTCACCTGTGCCAGTGCCCAGGGCAGTCCCTGTGAAGCGACCCCGGGTCACAGTCCCCTTGGTCCGGCGTGTCAAAACCACCATACCTGTCAAGCTCTTTGCCCGCTCCACAGCCATTACCGCCGGCTCAGCCAAGATCAAGTGTGAGTGACTAGATCTTCCTAGATCATTTTTATTTTTCTCATTAGCAAAAGAACAGAATCACATATTTTTACATTGGAAAATAGATGAAGGAACAAATCTCCCACAGTTCTGCAGCTCTAACACTACCAAGTGAGTATTTTTATTCATTTCTAAGAGGAAAAGGCTGACCCTTGGCGGGGGATGGGGGGTGGGGGCGCTTGGGTTGGACACAGAAATGTCCAGTGCTGTGACATGGAACCCAGTGAGGAGAAGGTGTCATCTTTCCTGTAGTAAGGACAAGGTTGCACAGGCCCACTACTCCACATGCACTCTGGTGTACACATGCTGCAGTCAGGCACCCAGGAAATCTGATGGTAAAACACCCACGTTTATACACCTGAAATCAGGGCATCATCCTATAACACGAGGAAAAACACATATGCTTGCTCAGGTGCACACCACACCTGCATTTTTATCCATCTCTAGTCCATTTCAGGAGTTGAGAGGTCAGGGAGAAAGGTCCCAAGTTGAGAAAGGTGGACTGGTTACTGTAGGCATGGCCTCCGAAGTCTTGGGGGAAAGCCATGGACAGCTCCAGCCTTTTTCATGGCCAAAGAACCACAGATGAGGACAGTTCGGCCACCGGCCTGCCTTTGTAGTTGACAGAATGGGGCTAGGGTCTTACGTTAGTGTCAAGCTCTTAGCTCCTGGGTGACAGCCCTGTACTCCCTTCACTCCCAGTAAAGAGCAGTGAGCTGCAGACCATCAAGACAGAGCTGACACAGATCAAGTCCAACATCGACGCTCTGCTGGGCCGCTTGGAGCAGATTGCCGAGGAGCAGAAGGCCAACCCAGGTCAGCTCCCAGGGGTCCTCACCCAGCTCGGTGAGCAGGGGCACAGGGCAGAGCGGGGGGGTGGGGGGGGGTGGGGCGGACAGTGCTCAAGGCAGAGAGGGGCTTATTAGCTTCTGCTACGGTCACTGCCCTGGGCAGCCTTCTTTATTCCCTTCTTCCCACTCCTTTCCCCTCAAGATGGCAAGAAGAAGGGCGACAGCAGCAGTGGCAGTGGCGGGGGCAGTAGTGGTGGCGGCAGCCGGCCGCCAGCCCCCCAAGAGGACACGGCTTCTGAGGCAGGCACGCCCCAGGGAGAAGCCCAGGCCCGGGACGACGGCGACGAGGAGGGGCTGCTGACGCACAGTGAGGAGGAGCTGGTGAGGGCGCGACGGGGGGGCTCTGGCGGCCCTGCGAGCTCCCTCCTTCCTCTTTCGGAAGAGCAGGGGAGTGCCTCTTTCAGCTGCCAGTCTGAAGTCCCACTGAGGACTGAGGCAGACCTCTCTTTAGTCCAGGGCCCATTCTAGATTCGGTTTCCACACGGGTTGGGGGAGAGAAGAGTCGGCTCCAGGGAGCACACGCGGTCTGCAGAGTTCCAGGGGGCAGCCACACGGGGGTTGGGTGTGCACCCTACCCAAGGATTTTCTAACCGCCACTACTGCCTAAGTACACGAGAGGCTGTCTCATGAGGGAGGCATGGAGGGAGCTCTCTGTCTGTTACTGGAACTCTTCAGAGTGCCAGTGGGAAGCCATTGGCAAGGAGCTTATGTTGAGTAGGAAAGTAGACCAGACTCTTGAGTATGTAAGGTAACTGTTGTGTGCTTACTGTCCATTTACGTAACAGGCACTCAGTGAGCACCAGGCCCTGTGGTTTCTAACTTCATTTAACCTTAACAACAGCCTTGCACTGTGCAAAGTATTACTCTTCCCGACTTTTACCCAGTGAGGAAACTGTGGCTCAGAGGAGTAGAGTAACTTGCTCAGGGCCTTATAACTGATAGGGGCTGAGCCAGAATTAGAGCCCAGACTTCTTCACCAGGTTTGGAACTTTCTCCTTTTCATCAAAGCTGGGGTTCTGGCACGAGGACAGATGGGCCCGTGGCCACCATACTTATGAGGTCCTCCTCCTCATGCCCCCAGCTCATCTCTCTTTTTTTGACCCAATTACTTTCTTAGGCATAGTAGTCTCTATAAAGACCCTAACCATGCCCCAAAGATGGGGAGCTCACCAGTCTACTAGGCTTTCAGCCTGCTACAGTCTGAGAAGGTCTTTCTATGCAGAAACGTGTCCCCTGCCACACCTAGAACATCCTTGACTGGTCCCTTCTCTCTTCTGGAGGGCCCCCAGATCATCCTGTCAGTATCCCAAGCCAGCTGTGTTGAGACTGTTGCCATAATCATTCCCCTTGGCTGTCTATCCCTCTTTTGGAGTTTGGTCTCCAGATGTCCTCTGGGCCCCAGGGATGACTCAGAGTTGGTAGTGAGTGATGTGTGGTTTCTCGTTGCCTCCTCCCTATCAGGAGCACAGCCAGGACACAGACGTGGAGGATGGGGCCTTGCAGTAAGCAGGTACGGGGGTCCAGGTGGATGGGGTGAAGTGAAGCAGACCTGGCAGGGTCGTGCTAAGCCCGATGAGGAAAGGCTCCCCCATCCTCAGCCGTTCTGCTGTGCTCCTTTGTGGTGGGAGCTTGGTAGGCTGTGGGAGCAGGAGCCGTGGATGGGCTAGCCAGGCCAGCCCTGCCAGGGGTTCCCTCGGCACACTCCGAGCCATGTTGCCCATCTCCTCCACCCTTGAGGAGCTCTGAGTCTGATGGAAGAAGACACAAACCATTACCAGTGTGAGCCTGATGATGGGCTGGAGAGCTGGGTGGTCAGAGAGGGGTGTGGTGGAAGAGCCGATAATACGTAGTTGAGCCTGTGGAGGGTTGAGGGAGAGGCATCTGAGGGAACAGCTTTAGCCCAGCACAGGGACCTCTGATGGGTGTCAGTATGTGGGAGACGACTAGGAGCCTCCAGTAGTGGTAGTCGCAGCCCTGCATGGGCAGGGAGTTCATCATCAGAGAGGGATGGTTGTGCCAGGCTTAGGGGCTGGAACTTGATCCTGCCCAGAGGAAACTGTCCCAGCCCTGCAAGGTTGTGATGGTGCCAGCCTAACGGATGTGGGAACTGAGGCACGGCGGCGGGGCCGGTAGCATGTATCTCACCAGTCCCAAGGTGGTAATTGGTGGAGCCTAGGTTTGAGTCCGGTGGTGTTTGGCCTCACAGCCCAGTGTTTACCACCCTGCTCTGCCCCATTCCTTTGGGGGCCATGTTCAGGGTAAGACAGGCTTGGGTGGAGGAAGGCCTCAAAACAGCACATGTGTCTTTACATAAGACACATCCATGCTGTGAGCTGTTCTACCAGCAAGATCTTCCCAGACAGTTTAGGAAATTCTGGATCGACAGTCTATCCTCTGGGAGCTTCCTGGTTTGTTTTACCAAGGAGGCTAAGTTTGACCTTGTGAAGCCAGTTCACAGATGAGGTGCAGGGCTCTGGTGAGGAAATGGGAGGCTTAGGGAGAGGGAGAGACTCACCAGAGGTTGCATGGCCAGAAAATTAGAAGGCCAGAGCTAGAGTGCAGGCCTGTGTCTGTCTGCAAATGGCAAACACCATTCTCCCCTTTGTCTTCCCAACCCCAGTTATCAACAGTACCAGGGGCTCTTGCTGTCAGCCTCAGTCTCTCCTTTGTCTCTCTCTTTCTCAGCCTGACAGGAACGATGGCCACCGGCAGGAGAAGGGCGTGCACTGTACCAGGCCTAAAGCTGGGCACCTGCCCCTGGAGACTACTCCCAGCGGGTCCCAGGAGAGCCAGCCGCAGGCACCTCCTCCCGCACACATCCCAGCCAGTGCCGCATTCTCCGCAGGTGGAGTTATTGGCCACCCCTCCCCTCACGCCCTCCCTGCTGGCACCGCCCAGGCCAGAGGGCAGCGCACAGAGGTTTCCCCACACTCTACCTCCCCTCCCAGGACACTCCCAGGCTTGGGGTTTTTCTATAGGTTTGGAGAGGGGAGGGTACCCTGACAATAAAGAGATTGGATCCCAACTTGCTCTGAGATGGGATGGTTTGTCTTTTCTCAAGGTCCCCGGGCCCTCCTGCTGAGCCAGAGTCTGGTCTGGTCTGTTTCACTCCATTCTTTTTCCTCCCTTGCTCCTCCCAGCCAGGGAGCATTGTCCAGGGTGCATAATACTGGTCTGTCTAGGCTTCCACAGCTAAAATGGGGATAAAAATGGCCAATAGGGCTGTTGGGGAGGGTCACATATCCTGGTCCCCAAGAGACTATCCCCAGGAGACTACTTCGGTGGCTAAAGTGTCAAGCAATTGTGACCCACTATGGTTAGACAGTGGTAGGTCCAGGTCTCAGCTTCTCAGTCTCCTTTTTCCCAGCTCTGAGATGATTCTAGAATCCACCTCTTCCTCTCCTTCCCTGTCCTAGTTTGGGACACTGTTTTTTTTTAACTTGGGCTTTGTCCTCTCACCAGCCCCACAGCGTCTAGCGTCTCCCTGCCCCATTTCCCACTAGACACCACAGTGCTTTATTGGAGTCATGTCTCTTCCCTGTAAAACCCTTATCTGACTGCTCACCATCAGGACAAAACTCCAACTCCTGTACACGATCCTATATGCCCTGGCCTCTCTCCCTTGTTACCACCTCTCTTTCCTGGCCCACTCAAAACAGGTCCCCCCCCCCCCCCCCCCCCGCAGGTGGCAAGGAATGGAGTTGCAGTCCTTTTGACTTCAGGCAGTAAGAGGTTGGCATCAGAATACCTGTGCCTCCCTCTCCCTGCCTTGGGCCACCTATCTCGGTGTTCGCTCTGTTCTCTGACAACTGGTGACGTTCCTTCAAATTTCCACTTCTGTCCTAACTTCACCCCACAAGTTGAGCGATTTCCCTGTGTTCAAATTCCCAGGAGAAATCACCTGCCACAGCGGATCTTTTTGAGTCACTCATAGGTTATAAGTACCTTCCCCGGTCCTGTGAACTGGGTGATAAAGGTGTGGCCACCTGGGCTGGTGTCTCTGGTGTGGGGCTTTGTTCCAAAATCTGGCACGTACTCTTCTTGCTCCTACTTTCTCCACCTGAGAAATATCCACTCACTCTTAAGCTGCTGTTCTAGTGTTGGCACCTCTGAGAAGTATCAGCTTACTGCTTTTCAGAAATTGTTCATTCTCCCTCCTAGGCAGCCTTCCCCAAGACAGGAAATTCAGTCCCATCATCACAAAGGGGCTTGGGCTCTCCGTCCATCTTTACATGTTCCTCAGGGTCCCAGGCCTACTAGAATCCTTACTGAAAATCCCAGTTCACACTAGCAATTCTCCAACATAGCCTCCATCAAACCTCCACCGGGCTTTGGCTCCAGGTTTTGGTGGAGGATAGAGGCTGGGCTTGAGACAGTGCTGAGGCTAGGTTACCCTGAGTATGGAATCACCCGGGGAAGTCTTGGTTGTCTCATGGCTCCCTCCCTGGGCAGCCCTCCTGACTGTCCGCTCGCAGTCTGAAGCCCGAGTGCAGCTCTGCATTCCCAAGCTGTGCAGGGGCCTGACTAGCCAGCCCATTAGGGAGCCAAGAGTTCTGGACCCACAGCTGGGCCAAATGCCCCCATCCCTGCTGGCCATTGCCTCTTAGTGTGATGTGGAGCAGTGTTTCTGCCTTTTTGGAGGTTTAGCTGCCCAGGGGGATCCCAGTCCCCATATGTGTGCCTGCTGGGGACCCTGGGCAGCAGAGGGAGAGAGGGTAGAGACTGAGGCCATCAGTCTCTCAGAGATTCAGACCCAGGGTGAAAAATAGTCCCTGGGAACTTACTCAACACAAAAGGTTCAGTCTGGAGAGCTAAAGAAGGTGTCCAGCGGAAGGGGCTAGGTCCACTGGGAGTGTCCCACCTCTCCCAAAGAGCCCTCAGTGGAACATACCCCTCTAGTCCCTGAACTCAGTCTGTCCTTGCTGCTCAGAAGGCCAGAGCCCAGTTCTAGCCGACCCACTTGGATATGTGTACAGGTCTTCATGTCCCTACCTGGTACACCACCCTGGACTGGAACTTGGGCAGAGTGCAAAGAAGGGGTTTTGGACCCTGGTGGAGTTCACACTGAGGGTTGGCACCTGGGTTCCTGTGTTCCAAGAGCCTAGTGCTCTGTGCCCATTGCACTGTAATAACATTTTCAGACTCTACAAGGCCCTTAGTAGTGCTTGAGCGAGGCATTCACTTTTCAGTGCTTGGGGGACAGGTAGAACAGGAGGGGTTGTGGGCCTCTGTAGTATGTTAGGCAGAAGAGCAGGGAAGACCCCTTCCAGGGTAGGAAGCATGTGCCCTATGCAGAGGCCCTGTGTAATCACCCTGGCATCAGGATATATCCTAGACAGATTGAGAATCCCCATCCTGGCACCCCAGAAAAGCTCCTGGACTACTTAGCCCATGGGAAAGCTTGAGTGGGAAATTCACATCCACAAAAACCCTGCACAGACCTGCCCATGTCTGGGTCAGGAAAGACCTCCCCCGTTCCATTGCTCATCAGTTTTTGTTATCTGTTCAACTTCTGAAAACCAAAAGATGAAGAAATGTGATACCACATTCTGCCCAAAAGGACTTAATATTCCCTATGTGTTTTGAAGATCTGAAGCCTCATTTGTGATCCTGGCAGCTGTCTTGAAGGAATATTATACAGCCAGTGGGTTTACTGGATTTTGAGCCAAGGCTTTCCTCCTGTACTGCTGCCCATAAGGTTTGTGACCCTGGGCAAGTCTTGTTCCTTCCTAGGTCTCTTGTTTCCCCATCTGTGTGAGAGGTTGGCCTAGATCAGGGATAGTAAATGGGCCTTATATCAGTTATTAACTTGTATAACCCACTCCAAAATTTTTAGTACCTTTAATAAACATTTATAAGCTTCTGACTGAGTGGCATGGCAATTTGGGCTATGCTCAGCTGGGCAGTTCTGCTTCTCTCATCTGGGTTTTGATGTGGCTGAAGTGAGCTGGCAGATTGGCTGGGGGCCCCGTGGGTCCCAGATAAACTCACCCACTTGTCAGGTGGTTGGCGGGGCAACTGGGCCATATGTTCCCAGCATCTAGCAGGCAAGACCAGGTAAGCCCCGAGAGGCAAGTGCTCTTCAAGTTCCTGCTTGTGTCATGTTTGTCAGCTTCTGTTGGCCAAAGCAAGTCACATGGCTAAGTCCGAACTCCTCTTAATTTGAGGAGCTTCAGCATAGGGCCACGATTTGTTTTTAATCCCTCTCAGGCCTTATTTCATTTGCCATTCAGAATGTTTAGTAGCAGCTGCTGGAGTGCTTTTTGAGGATTTGGGAGTTTTTAAGCTTTTAGATTCTTAAATAGTGACATGGTAATTTGATCATTTTTGTTTATGGGTGAGGAGTTGAAAATGTGGGTATGTGAGTGCCCACTATTAACCAACAGTGGCCAGGTCATCTCTTGTCCCATCAGGACGTTATCTACTTTACAGTAGACCATCTGGTGAGAACACAGAAATATGAAAGGTAGAGCGGGCAAAAGATTCTGATCAGGCATCCCGGGCTTGAGTTCCAGTTGGGCCACTGATTAAACTTTGGGCAAATACAAATCCTTACAGCTGTGACCACATAACAGTAAACCACTTCCTGAATATCTGCTGTGTAAAGGCACATTTTATATTTATTTAATCTCTGCAACCATCTTTTAGGTGTATGCAATACAAACTTTTGGTTACAAGTTGTAGAAACTGAACTCCTATGTGCTTAAGCAGGAGAAAGTTTATTGTTTCGCATATTTAAAGGTCCAGGGATAATCCTTCAGACCCAGTGGGACTCAGGGGTTCAGGAGTTGTCATCAGGCATCTTCTTCCCTGTTCCTCAGCTTTGCTTCCTCTGTGGGCCTTGTTCTCAGACAGGTCCTCAGAGCATGGCCCCAGGGCCTGAGTGTGGAGGGGGAGGGGAGAATCTCCAGAAGGAAAACAGGAGTTCTGTTGCTAGAAGAAGGGAGGTTTGGGCTGACAAAAACAACAGGTCTTCATTGTGTAGTTGTGCCCATTTTGTAGATTTTATAGATGTGAAGGTTCTAAAAACTTGGCCCTGTTGACGGCTGGTATCTATACCCTCTCCCCTTTATCTGGATTCCGGCTGTTTGATCAGAATACAGTGATGGTGATGCTGTGCCAGTCTCACAGTTCTGTTCTCAAGAACTAGCAGTTTCCACTTCTGTGTCTTGAGACCCAGCTACCATGCTGTGAAGAAGCCCAGACCACATGGCAAGGCCTGACAGCCCCATGTTCCAGCTGACAGCCAGCATCCGCTGTCAAGACAGGAGTGAGGAAGCCTTCAAGATGAGTCCCGCCCAGCCACTGACCTGAGAACCAAGTAAGAACTGCCTAGTTGACCCCAGTCAAAGCCCAGCACCGTGAGGGAGAATAATCAGTGATTGTCATCTTTTTAAGGTACCCAGTTTTGGACTGATTTGTTCTCTATCAGTAGATAACCAGAACACAAACTGAGGCTCATAGAGGTTAAGGAGTTTGCTCTACCTTAGGGGGACTGGGTTAAGAGTATAGATTTTGTGTTGAACTGAGTTCCAATCCAGATTATTTGTTGTGTGACTTTAGGCAAGTCAGTTAACCTCTCTGAGCCTTCATCTTCCTCATCTGAAAAGCAGAAGAGAGCACATTGTTGTTATGACAATACTTAATAAATTTTAAGTTCATTTATTATTACCTAATCCGGATTCAGGTGATTTTCTTAAAAATAAGACTATAATTTTCTTTCCTCTTTTTTTCCCCTACTCACTTTATATTCACTTTGTTCCAAAATGTATTTCAGGCAGCTTACAAAGAGAAAGTCAATAGAGTATTATAAAAGAGTATAAAAAGAAGGCAAAGGAAAATATTAGCAAGTTTTTTTCCCTATATCTGAGTTATTGCAGTCAAGAGCAGTGTGTCTATCTGGTCACTAAGCCTGTGGAGCAAGCCCGGCTGGCCCTCCTGTGTATATGAATGGACGGACTCCTGCCTCCTCTGACTGGTGAGTGGGCTCCTGGTGCACACACTCCCCTCCCTGCACCCCTGTCT